GGAAACAAATTTTGTGCATTCAAAATAGGAAATACCATTTAAGGTAGCTCGTACAGTTGGTGTCGTATCTACCTGGGGCTCCATATGGCGCTTTATATTTTTTATCGAGTTCACCAATTTAATTTGAATGATTAATATTTGAAACTAATTCGAAATACTGAAATGGAAAACAAATGTATAAATAAGTGGAAAAATTAAAATTGTGGTTCTTATTGTAAACAAAATTTTTTTTTTTAATTTTTAAGAAAAAGTTGGAAAGTTTGTCGAGCAAACTGAGGGAAAGCAAGTGACGTTGACGCTCATAGCAGACATGCGTAGAAGATATATGTATATGTACTACCAAACGCATTGAAACCTGTTTATTTGATCGTTAACATATCTTTTTTTATGTGCCATCATAATCTCCGTAAAAAAAATCTATAACCACTTAATTTTGTATGACAAAGTAGTGATTAACTTATTAGTATCAACCACAGTTCCATAAAACTTGTGTTTAAAAGACATTTTTATAACGTTCCTTTTTCAACAAATTTATCGTTGACCTTGCGATTTTTTTATCGCAATCGAAAGTTGAAACTTTTAAGGATGTTCTGTTAAATTTTAAACTAAATGTATAATTATTAAAAATTTGTGTGAGCCACCTTAACCGAAGTTCTATACTTAATTCATGCGTATTAAGCGAAACAGCATTGTCTAGGAAATTTTCGTTTGGGAAATTTTGTGTGAACAAATTGGCCGTTATGTTTACGTTTCATATTTTTATTTTAACAGAAATAATATGTCGTTGAATATAAGTCATATATACATACTATGTATTCAATACAAAGCAAAATAGAAAGGGAATAATATTACTTAAAATTTATCTTTCATTCATAAATAAAAAAATTCATTTAAAGACATTAAATTATGTGTAACAAAAAACTACATCAAGGTTCCTTTTACCGGAGTATTTAGTTGATTCGGTCGTAAACGTTGTTACTTATGTAGATAAGTTTTGAACGGTAATAAATGACCTTGAAAGACCAAAATATTAGGTCAATGAATTCGTCGCAGAATGGGCTACACGTCTACCTAAATTTTCTACCTAATTGGTTCATTTAAAAAAAGAAAGGTCACCGTCAAATCTTGGAGGCACATCCACCTAAATAAGATTTATGACCATCATAAAATGTCTCCCACGAAACAAAGCAAGTTCTACTTGAAACATTTTTTGGAACTAATAGTTTGGCAAATAACTGCGTGTAAAGGTTCAAATGGGACACTGTGTATATAAGGTGATTCTAGTAACTGGGCCTGGCTATAGCTCTGTTCCAAGTAAAATTAGAAAAAAATCATAGAGCATAATTTTGCATTGTTTAACATGCTCCATCATCCGATCGTATGATTTTTTGCAATTGGACTTTTTTTTTAAATAGGATACTACAATTGTTTTGCCGAGTTTGATTCCCGGTATCATTCTGCGTATAAAAGGTATAAGGTAATGTCGTTGAAAACACAATGCTTTACGAAGTATTTCACTTTTTATATAATTACTGTCAACTACACTTATGGTAAACTGTGTGTGTCTGTGTGTAAGTAGGATGTTAGTAAATACGATTAATGGCGTGATTCAATACTAACATAGTAAGCAGTGGTTAGTAATGAAGCGTGGTAAGTGGGAGATTGCAAACTATTCCCCTAAATGTATGGAAACTTCTCAAAATTGACACATTAAATACATATCTGTAAATATGTACGACTGTTTTTAATTACTATTTTGAAAGATCGTTCTGAACGCTCGGAAATTCGTGATTTTGTGCAGTGTTAATTTTCAAAATAACACACAAAACAAATTCTGAAATAGCAACACCTAACAACAACATTATGATGATGCAAATGTGATGTCAAAACAAGTTGAAAGAAGCGGGCGGGAGAGGTGGTTAAAAAATTTGTAATAAAACGTACAATAAAATGCACGAATCTTAAAAAATTTCATTCCATTATTTTTTGACATAGATGGATGGCTATAGAACACAGCCCTCTTGCACAGTGGAGTCAGGGGCTGCAGCACCCTAGCCTCCTAGCCCCCTAGTCCCCTGCTGATCCGGCGCTGACTTGACCCTCGCATAGCGCCAATGCGCGTCATCGACCACTACCAGTTTTGACACTTACATGACGCCACTGTGGCTACTTATTAGACGTTCCATGATTCTTTCGTTGGAAATGAACTCGGGGTGGCGTTGAACTATTTCACGTTGATGCCAAGTCGACTTTTAAAACTGTGGTTCATTTAAATTTGTATAAATATATACATATAACGGAATACAGTATGGTATGTAACCATTTCATTCCCACTCTTGCCATACGTATCCTAAATAAAATATTGGTATCATGTAGTTTTTTCATATCTGTGAGTATGTAATAGTAGACTAGGCATTTACAAGTTTATCGGTAAAATAAGACATTATTGGTCGTTTGTCTCTTTTATTTGATGAATTTCCATTATTGAACATGTTACAAATACAATAAAAACTTACAAAACTATAATTTCTTTCAAATATTTCAAAAGGATTTATTGATCAAATGTAAGGAAATTTGGATTTTATTACGTATAATAACAGTAAATAGGAATTATTATATATAACTGTGATAAAAGTAAAAAAGTTGTCAAATGGCAACGGATGAAAAATGGCATTAGACAGTTTCAAAATGTTAAAATTTTCTTGCGAACCATTTCTGTGTCATGTAACATGCATAAAAGTACAACAAATATATTTTCTTGGTAATTTTTTAATAATTGGGGAATGAAAGAGTTAACGCGTTGACTGCCACAGTGAAAAAGGCCGTACGTAGCCAGACACGCTTTATTTCGTTTTTAAGACATAAATCGTCGAAAATATACGCGTTTAGTTAATAGAGGCTATTGATATTGTTTTAAATTATAGCGCGATATTGATTTTACGCAAAAATTTTGTAACGGTATTTAAATAATCCAGCTTTTTTGCAATGTACGTGTCACCCATACCTGGGTAACGTGGCAGTCAAAGTGTTAAGGTAAGTGTGCTTTGTCGAATGTTTTGGTGGTCGATTTTTTCTTACAATGTCTTTAGTTGTGTTTAACTATTAGGGGTACTCATAAATAATCAATTATTTTGCATTCAGAGACCAATTTTTTTTTTAAATAACATTTTTATTTTTTAATCGATTATACAATCACCGTCATTATCGATAACTTGTTGCCATCATTTTTGCAAAAGTTCAATCTCCCTTTTGTAAAAGTCTGGCGGACATGACTCAAAATAAAAAAAAAATTTTTTTAAATCTTCTGAACCAACGTTAACATTTGTTCACTTTCAACACATCTCCATATGTATCACAAATTTTCCTTGTTGTTTCTGTTTCACTAAATCCAGCGTGAAAATGAAAAAGTACACAATTACGAATATGGCTTTCAAAAGGTACAAAGACCGCCATTTTGTTGCAGGGCTATAAAAAAAATTGTTGTGAATAAAGTACTAACAAACTGGTTGAAGAATAACACTAAAATAATTTGTGCTTACACTTGTCCGGTTGTCACAGAACTAATGAGAAATAAGGTCTTGGGAAAATAATAGATTACTTATGGGTACCTCTAATATGTGTGCCTCCTCGTTTGTATCTTGCACTGATACTAAAATGGTGCGAGAGGACGGTGTTATGATTCTCGAATCGGAGCTTACGGTGCTTCTTCCTGGGCTAACTTTTTCTACATTTGCGGTTACTGGCACAATAGCGAATGTTTGATTATTGCCGTTGCAGTAAGGCCCACCGGGGGTGATGAGTTCGAGGGGTCGTGAGCCTAGTGGGTCTGTTAGCACATTGAATGCGGCATCAAAAATCAGGTGTTCGAGATAGCGAATTTTTCTATAAAAGGTATCTCTTTATGCGACTTTTGATATTTTATTAGACTTTAAACAGAAATAAAGTTGCCTAATCAGAGATTTGAGGCTTTCATGGCCGGGCATCATACAGTTCTCACTGTTGAGGCTTTCAGGTATAAGCCGTGTCCTTGTGGAATTGTTTTCCCAACGTTTCGCAAGCATTGCAGCTAGCTTCATCAGGGGGTCGAAGACACACCAGTATCAGCCTCAACAGTAAGAACTGTAGAAATAAAGTTGTTTTTCATAAAAAAGTACATAAACATGTATACTATGGTATCGACTCGTGCTCATGAATCATCTGGTCGTTCTTCCCTCTTCAAAAACAGCTCGAGCGTGCAGCAATTCAGGCATGTCTGATTTAGCATAATGATTTTCACGTCCCAGTCTTATTTTAAATGCAAAATAAAGAATAAAATTTAATGTTATTAAATATTGCATTTATTATTACTTAAAAGTAAGAAAACAATATCATTTTGTGTCAAAACATTATAATTGTAAAATAACCTACCTATTTAAATCAACTGCATTCAAATAAAATACTTTATATTAATATTGACATTTCCAAAAGACTTAATAGGAAAATTATCGACGATTATATTTTTTCTAATAAGTTCTTGAGAAGTTCTCAAAGTTTAATCCATAGTTTATTAAAAAATATAATTATTTTTTTTATTTTGATCCTTTATTTATAAAATTACACACATATTAATATATGAACATTAAAAGTACATATTCTTGTATAATGATATAAAAACGATATATGCGATAATTCACGTGAATTAATAAGTAATAGATTACTTTTCGCTTCACATTTTAAGGCACTTAATTAAAAGAAGTAATAACAAATAAGAATGAATATACATAAGAAAGTATAGATAGAACAACATTGATTTTGGCAACAGTAACATATTTCGTAAAAAGAATACTTGTACTCATGTTTGTATAAACTTTCACAATACAATTATGAATTATTAATAATTATGTCAGTAAAATATAGAAAATAATTTTGTAACTCTATACCACTGAGGAACTTTTTCATTATTTTATATGTTTGTAACAAAGGTAACATCTTTTTTATTGACACTTGTCATAAAAAACTTATTATATACTGCTTTCTTTTTGCTGTGTCATCCAAGTACTATACGCGTCTTTTAAAGTAATGTACGATGGATATCCTCTATATTCCTTTTTCTTTGCATTTCGAACGGTAGGAAAATGTTCGTTAGGTAGTTTTCGAATAATATCGCGTATTAAATTCGGATTATCTTTAACAAATTTAGTAACCTCCATCAACGGTGAAGGCGTTGTCTTGTCTTTCACTTTTTTCGAATTCTCATAGATGCTACGTGGAATGCGTAAATAGCGAGTGTTTTTTAAATTTTCGAACTCTGCGATACTATTTGCGGTGATCCAATTGATTCCCTTCAACAATGACTGCATGTAATCATCAGCTTGTCTTGTGACAACATAATTTAAAATTATCTTACGATCCTGATCGTCCGGGGGATAATAATAATAATATTTCTGATCATTCTCTTCATGCTCCATGTAATCTGTCACCGCGAAACTTAGAAGATCTCTATCGGCATGAATTTTGTAAATGTTAGATTCTAATCCCAGACAGCAGAGGCCGACGTAGATAGAGGTAGCGTTATAGCAATTCGTACTGAGTTCCACAGGGTCGTTGATCGTACGACCAAGAGCCGCATGATATGTCAACATGTAGGGTCGCAATGGGAACTGCCATAATTCTTTTTGCTTTTTGTTCAAAGCACTTAACCAAGTGCGATAGGCTGGTAGTATCTGATAATTATTTAGCTTGCAGCGTTCGATCGTCTGTTCATTACCATCGTGGTGACGAATAATTAACGAATCAAGCTGCCCATTTATAAAAATCATTTCTTTCAAAACAACAATAAGATGCAAGCCGCGCGCTGTGATATGCACATATTTAAAACCTATCACCAGAAGCAAACCTGGAAAAAATTTATCTCCCTTCACGTACTCACAGGGTATGTTTAAAAATGGTTCCACGTGGTAATTTTTGGGGCCCAATATATCCATTATATGCCGCAAACGTTCCGTAAGTACCTGATGAAATTGAGCTATGTAAACAGTATCCAAACGCTCTTGCAGGTTTGGGTTATATTTGCTTCGGAAAAGACGATACAGTTCGTAACGTATATTGAAGTGAAATGGAATATTTCCTTCGGACCTGTAGTTATCAATCGCTTTGCGGAAATGTGAGACTTTTTTCAAAAAATCTGTGTCAGTTGAACGCACATTCTTGATCAGTGTATCTACCGTTGAGTCACCGAGAATATCGAGTATATCAGAATTGCTCCGGTTATGAAGCTGGGACTTGGAGACAGCAGCCAACTGCATCCTATTCCCGGCGAAAATTAACGTTATATTCTTTCTTAACGATAGTATAAACAATAATAGCAACATTAGCGGTGACGTTATAGTATACGTGTCCAGAATAATAACTTTTATCGCGTGATCGATATGTACGAACTTTTTCGTGCAAGATATCAGGTTGTAAAGTACATCGATATTGTTTAGACCAGCAATTCTAAATATATTGACCGCTTCGCAATACTGTAATTGAAAATTACGCATGTTGTAAGACACGTAAGTGAAGGCGTTGACCTCCCTTAGTATAAGCTCGCTCGACTGATCTTTCCTGAAGACAGCGTACTGTATCGACTCGCCGTATGCTGATGCCAAGGTGGATAGAAGGAAAGTTTTGCCGGATCCGCTTGGCGCGTCGATCACGATTACTTTGTTTTTTTCTTTGTCGATTAATGTATGTACTTGGTGGTACGCTGTCTTTTGCGCGTTGGTCAGCATTGTTTGCTTCATGCATTTTTTGCAATCAAATATCGCTGGTTTCTCAGAAATGTTCAACAATTCTACTGCTGTTTTTGTCAAATTATCGATGCCAAAACCACGTACCACGGCGACATCATTGCATGCAGCGTAACATGTAAAAAAGAAAAAGAATCATATTACAAAAAATGAATGGTTATCGATAAAAAAAAAACAATATTATCATAAAGTCTTACCTTCACAAATACCGTTACTCGTCATGGTGGTTCTTTGATCGCTTGCTTAAATGCCACTAACTGTGCAGTTTGTATTTACGTCCTTACCTCGTACGTTTAAGAATCTGTGATGATAAAAACCATTGTTACTGCGTAATCTTTTAAGTGACGTTTATCTATACTATTTCATGTTATATTTACTTTATCATGCAATTTTTATTATCGCGCCAAATAACAATCACCGATGACGAATAAGATAAGAGAATAGGTTAATAAAAATTTATTAAAAATCTTTTCTCTTCTTGCTTGACAGATTAGAATCAACTTCGTCTACATCGACATCATTAATAAATTTCTTAACCACAAAGAAGATTCTCTTAATTTTTCATTTTATGAACGAATTCTTTTTTGATTTTTTTAACATATTAGGATAATTGATCATAATTTTTAAAATGTTTCATTGCTTTTAGCAATATCTTCTATTTGTAATTGTACAGGATAATTCATTACAAGTAAACCACTGTGTTATCTTTCATTTGGTTGATGGTATAATAAAATATATAACATAAGTCAGACCACCATTAGTGAATATTTAAATAGAATAATAACAATAGGAAAGTAAAGAAATATGTATATCTATAGTCCTTGTATTTGCAGTAACTACATAATCCTAAACTTTTGAGCGGTAGCATCCCAGATAGCACATGACGCCCAATAACGCTTTGAGGACGGCTTAATGACGCCTTAGACCTAAAATAGCCGTACAATGGGCGTCTTCCAGGCATCATGTCCTATCTGGGAAATGTCGATCTTAACACAAATTTTAATCTTGTCTGCAGAGGTGTAAAGTAAATACACATTGAAACATTAAGATTTTGTTTACTCTCCTAATCTGTGGTACACTTTATAAAATAACAGGGAAAAAAATCTCTGTACATTTTCATTAGTTTTACATATAAGTTCCTTATTAGTACTCTCCTGTAGTTAATTGAAGTTCAGATCGAAAAAGAAATATTTTAAATATTCTAATAATTCTAATAGTACATATATGGCGTTTGCCATCCATCTCGCGTGGTGCATTGCTCCTGGTTTATGAAAAGATACTCCACGAGGTGGAGTACCTCCAAGAAATAAAATTATTAACTCTAGAATATTCTTGTAATCATTGCGTGGTTGATGATTTTCTACATTATTTCTTGCAAACAGAAGCATTCCATCTACATCATCAATTAACACGTCTTTAATGTCTGTCTTTACGAGACCAGATTTAAAATGGTTTACAGTAAGTTTTGGTCAAGCTGTTTGAAAACGTTTAAAAAGCGGTACGCTTGGATCTACCGATGACGATATTTGTACTTAAAAGACGCTTTGCAGAATTATTCGAAAGGTGTGATACCAACAGGGTAAAATACAATATATCTCTTTCTAACACATGTTCTAACAGAACACTAGCACCATTAATATTTCCTAAATTCGACGATGTCGTATCACAACTTGTGTTCCAATAACACATTGTATTCAACAACTGTGTTTTCACATTTTCAGTTAGATTCCAACCAAGAAACGCGTCATAAACCACAATGCCCTGATCCTTTCCTGTCGCACTTTGGAGTATCGATATATACCTATGTACTTTTAAGCAGAAATATATCTATGGTACATCTGGCATTTTGTAATAACTATAAATGCCTAGTATAGCCAGTATCAACGTGACATATTGCCTATACGCGCGTAGTGCGGACTTTTCAATATTCAAACACAATTATCTAAAAAATGGTTGGAAACAAAAAAGAATTATATAAACAGAAATTATAGAAACCTGAAAGCTCTTTTAATATTATTTGAACAAAATTTCGATAGAACTCACCATTTTTGTGACATTCTTTAAGAACTCGAAAAACACGGACAATTGAAAAACTTTAAGGTCTGGTCGGCACCCTTTCCTGTTGTCCGATTGCAATAAACTTTCAGGGAGTATTTCTTATGAAATCGAACAATTCTAAGAGGGGAGAGTAAAGAAATACGAAAACAAACTACCCTATTGTCACATACGCCTGAAAAATGTAACAGTATTGTTTTGGGGTTAAGGTCCAGTTATATGTAAGTATTACGGAACAGGGTGAGCGTGGGGCGAGCCCTTAACGAGCTCAGTAGGATATTTACACTGTTTCATTTGAAACACGTGAAAGAATATTTTTATCGACTTGTCGCAAGCTCGTTCCGTGCTAGTATAAATGGACCTTTATGCAGCTATTATCTGTTCAAACAGGGCCGTTCCTTGCAGGGATGCAAAAGGTGCCCTCGCACCTGGCCGGCTAAACCCAGTGGCGGCCGCGGATCGTTTATTATAATGTACAAATTTTGTCTAACAAGAAAAATAATTAATGCTTTTTTTGATGATTATTAACGTTTTCGACAAGCAGAATTCAATCAAATTAATTTTATACCTAACAATAAATTCAATAAAGAACTGGAAATTAAAAATTATAGATATCGAAATCATACTTATGTCCAAATATTTCAATGAACTACTGTATATAGTAATATTATTAAATTATAATAATATGAGAAGAAAACGTTGTTATGGAGAGTATCGAACAGTGTTTACACCTCTTATGTACGATAAAAAAATTTACTCTCAGACTTTTTCTTGATATTACTTCAACATTCTTTTGAAGTAAACAAAAGATTCCATTGAAGAATAAACACATTTTCAGTTCTTCTAATCGTCCTTCTATTTCTAACAAATTCTATTAAGTTTTTTAAATTCATTATAAATTGAACAAAGACAATATGTGCTGGCCGATAGCGTATCGCGGGTGCAACAAAGCTTTCATGATAAGGATCGGTATGTGTCCAAGCGGTTCCGCCACACCATATATGAATATCCGCATATAAATACTGTATCTATCTCTGAATAAAATTGTTTTGTTTCCGTTGTAGTAAGTGTTTGTACACAGGGCCGTTTCCGAGTTGTTGGCCGCCCAGTTGCAAAAACAATTTTATTATTTAACTAAGAACGTGATACGCAGTGTTTACTTTTATATCTAAATATACATAGTTTTAAACAGTTATCATGCAAAAGGAATACATTCCGCAAAAATATTAAGGGATCACCTCTACGAACCCGAGAAATAGGGCCAAGTTCAAATGGTCATAACTCCGACGAATTAGTCGTATATTGATATCGTTAAAAAATCTTTTAAAAGTGTGGAATCTCTACTAGATTCTTTTTCAAGATTTTAGCTGCGTTGCTTCTCGGCAAAGTTATAGCGATACAAAGAGTACTTTGAAAATGTTTAAAAATTTTGTTCTATTTTGCAATGTTATTATAAATTACATGACATGAACAAAACTTTGTAGACAAGTTACATTTATACCAGTCGAAAGCCACTATAGCTACCAGTGTAAAATGAGAGTTTGTCGATTGTTGTGCAATTTTTTCAAATTAATTCACTCAATACATAAAAAATTGTCGCAGCGGCTTCATCTGCCACTTAGTCGAATCGGCAGACTCTCCGTTTAAAAATGAGATTAAGATTATGATGTTGCAGTCATCCCTTATTAAAAATTCACAGGAAGTATCCATGAGGGTACTGTACGAAATATGTACAAACTTAAACCACTACTTTTGTGTGAATCGTCCCTGACAAACCAGATCAGCCGCATTTTTCAACCCTTCAACAGTCCAATTTCCCTTGCTGGCAAAGCCGCCCCTAGAGTTTGCGGGACCCGGGGCAAAAGTCGCTATCATTAAAAAAACATGTAATTGAAAAGAGATAATGTTATTTCTCTACATCAGTTTTTATAAAATGTGAAAAACCCTAACAGTAGAGCCCCCTAAGAGTGACGCCCGGGGCAAGTGTTCCGTTTGCCCGGTACTAAAGGCGGTACTGCATGTTGGTACTTTTTTGTCAAGCTCCTGGAATTTTCAGCAATAAAAGCTATCGCTATTCAAAGTCTTTGTGTGGTAATATATAAGAACCAGGTGGTTTTATTACACCTACAACCGTTATGTTATTTCGGTGGGAATAACAGAAAAACATTTTAAATAAACACATAAAATAGAATTATTATAACAAGATTTAACTATGGATCATTAAAATTAACCCTAAACAGAATCGAATGGACAAAGGTTTGGTAGTTATTATTTCGACGCAAATTTTCAAGAAACGACAGAAAAGAACGTTCTTTGTCACCGGCACAAACGTGACTAACGACAAAAACAAATGTTCGGTACAGCGAGAATACGTTTGATTTACAATGTTGTTAAAACCATACTGGCTCTTATTACACACTGGCCCGCATTTCCCCCGTCACCCTTATTGTTAGCAGCTGTTTCAGGGCACCTAGTTTAGGATTTTGTAAAATTTCTATAACAGTATAACGTTTGTCGTAAACGCTCAGAATATTCGGACAAAAAATGTTTGATTTATAATTTTTCTCACGAATAATAATGATTGAATAAAACTGTAAATAAAAAAATATATGTCGTGACGAACTTTACAACACTATATTTTTTAAGATCCAGCTCAACAACTTTCATTTTCCAATCTTAATTAGCGTAAAATAATATATCGTAAAACAAAAAGAACACAGTTTTGAAGGGAAACAATACAAAAATACATGACAGAATATTATATATCAATATTATCACAAATTGAAAACGAATAGTATCAAATTCAAAACGAAGATATTACCACAACTGAAATCTTCAAGTTCTATACATTGTAAAATATTTGGATCCATTGTGTTCCAATAATCGGTATCAATGATTGACGTTTAAGATAATCATTCGGATAACCGACGTTCTATTGTAATAAATTAACCTTGCAAGGCTCCGTGGGTTCGTACGGTGTACTACAAACTTTGCGTAGAAGAGATTGGCAATAACTAAGAATAAATCATTTAGCTTCTTGTAATTGCATTCTTACACAAATTTCAACAATAAATGGGCATCTAATGGACTAATTCTTTGGAACTGAAGGACATTGAAATTTGAAAATCATTACAATATGTAGTGTCTCTCTGGCTACTGACACGAATTTAGTGTGTATAATTACCATAGATTCTGGATCTTTTGAGTATATGCAGTTACGGCTTCGTCGCTCGTGAAGTTTCTTTACAAATATCACAATGATGGAAAATAAAAACGACGATACTTAGCGAGAAGCGTAGAACCGAAAAAAGTTACACTGTCGTTGTACTTTATGGTAACACACTATAAATATGCACACACACAGGTATTGAAATAAATCGTAGCAGTGAAAATAACAGCAGTCGCAAAAATCCCGATGACAAAATTGGTCTTTCCAAAATGGGATTTCCCATTCTGTACCGGCGAAACGGATCGTCAGTTGTTATTTTATTGGCAATATGTTCACACGAATACCAACATAAAGATCGACAAATCAAAAGAAATTTGCACTTGGAAACTTACCTTTCGATTTACGACTGATTGTAACTATTTATACCGAAAATAAAAGTCCAGAACGAGGAAATACGATTTTCGTAGAGTTTGCAACGTATGTATATAGATGATTCTATCAATGCACTGTTGGTGACACTGCGCAACTGCATGCACTGCCACGTGATTCACATCTACGCACAGCGAGCGCGTTAGAGAAGTATACTCTCTGACGAAGCCTTTGGTCGAAGCCAAACTGAACAGTAGAAGTTTCATCAAGGTTTAAGCAGATGTGTCAACAGAAACTGTTCAGCGAATGCTACACGATAAGGGCTATAATGGTAATAGGATAGCGCGAAAGAAACCCTATACGTACTCCTTTAAATGAAATGATTTAAACATTTAGAATTCCTAAAGGAGTATATAAACTATAATACATACTTCTAGCATAACATAATATTTTTTGACAAAGTTAAAGTTAATTTCTTCAACTCAGATGGCAAAGTTATAGTTTGGGCGAAAACCAACTATGGAATTCAGTACAAGTAATACAATACCAACAATGAAACATGGTCAACGTTTACATGAAGATCAGACCCGGATTAAGATTTTTTGTGGCCCAGGGCTATCAAACTTTCGGGGAACCCCTTGGTTGAAAAGCAGAGTTAGGATTTTTTATAATACAGCATAACAAAATACACAAATCTTAAAAAATTGAAATTTATTTTAAATAAAATTAAATAACATTTAATCATAACGGAATGGAAGGTTCAGAACGGGACCCCCCTGGAATGTAGGAATCCGGGGCTAAAGCCCCCCTAGACCCTCCCTTGATCCAGCGTTGCAATCAGCAGGTCATTTAGATGTTCGTACAATGGCTAATTGTTAGAATGTCCTTATATCATGAAAATAATACAGTAAATAACTATTAAAAAAAAATAAAAATAAAGCAATAACAACTATTAAGTTTTCAAAGGGGTGGTAGCTCCATTGTACATCTGTAGTTTGGAATAGTATTGGTTATAATGGAAAATACTTAATAGTGAAATAGTGAAAAATATATTGAAATCATAGATAAACAAATTGAGGTTTAAATAGACGGAGAAAAGTTCTTATTTCAATAGGATAATGCTCCCCAGTACATACCATAATCTGCGTAGAGCAATACTTTAAAATTAGAAATTTAACAATATTAAAATAACCAGCTTTATCTTGAGAACTGAATATTATCGAAAATGTTTGGGGTGAGCTAACAAGAGCTGCATGTACAGTGAGTGTAAAAAGTATTCGTACACCCTTTAAAACGGAACAACTCTTTTAAAATTGGTCCAAACGACTTGAGTTTTTTTGTGAAGTTAGAGACATTAATTTACTAAATGATGTGAAAAAAAAAATTGAAAAAGTTGCAATTGGTCCGAATTGCGAAGAAAATATTAAAGGTCGTGTTTTACAACTTTTTAATCTGAAGCTATAATGAAAATTTAATAAATACATATCGAAGATTTATGTTAGTTATATACATGTTGAAAATTTCATTAAATTCGGTTAACATTGCTACGAGATACAAACGATTAAAAATGTTGAAAATCGCAGTTTTTCCCGACTATCGATCTACAACTGTAGTAAATCTAACAATTCTCACATCTTTTGATGTCTGTCGCTCGTTTCTGTATTAACCGATTTCAATGAAAGTTTTAATTTTTAATTGTTTTTAATAAAGGTTTTACTTCAGGAAGGACACAAAATTCAACTGTTAATAGTGTTTCAGAGGAACTTGTGAAATGTACATTTGCATGATTTTTTACGTTAAATTTGACGGTGCAAAAATTAATGTTTAAACAATTTTTTTCGTCAATTTTGGAAAAGTAGTTGCATTGCAAAATTCATACCCTTATTAGTTGCAAATTCTTTAAAGTATATGTGGTCCTTTCAGCTCAATATTTCATTTTTGTGGTTTATTAAATTATTCGAAAACCGAGTTTTTTCTTGTTGCAATACTTATGTTCAATTTAAGGAAATTGTACTCCATTTAAAGAAATAACTTCAAACAACCCACAAAAGTATTTCAAACAGTGAACGATTAAGTACTGGTAATTGATTTTCGCGGGAATATATTCTATTACATGTTCTTTTCAGCCTTTTACCGTCCATATTTTCACATTCGAAACGCAACTGAAGTGGTATAACTTTTTAAAGATCACTCTATGTATACTCGTGCATATGACGTCATAACTGAACGTATGAATTTAGTGACGGACTATTTGACTCATGAAAACAGAGTGACGTAACTAGAGCACGTCACACTTAAATATAAATATGGCGTAGGGCGGTGCCATGAGTCGCCATTTCGATCGATAATTGTTCATGCGATAAGTAGCGTTCGAGTCGATCGGTTAATCTCACATATGTGTATCGTGAATGAATGTTTATTTATTTTAGTATGTCTATTACGTTTCCAGCATTGTCCTTTTATTATGTATACATGAGGAAATATTGATTGGACAAAAAAAAAAGAGGTTAGACGAAGCACTCATTTGGACAGGCGCGAGTCGCGAACAGTCGCGGACTGCGGTGGGACGTGGGACAATAAAGAAGTCGGTTAAGAAGTTGTGCACCAGTCTGCACCAGTCTGCGATTATTCACCATCGCATTAGCCGAAGCTCGTGTTTTTATCGCTATTTCAGTGATTTGCTATAGTGAAGAAAGTTATTTAATATAAGCATAAAATATAAGAAAAACGACTTCCAAAATGGGCGATAATATCGCAGGTGAACCTGGAGAAATTATAATTATTCTAATGTGGAGTTTCCTTAAATACAACTTCATGAATTGCATTGTACCCTTTAAACAATGCATAAATTACAATGTTATAAAAATTGCTAGCAGCTATCTAGATACATATTTCTACTTTAAGCTATTTATAGAATCCTTGATCATTAAGACTAAATGATAAACTGCCTTGAAAATGTATAAATATGAGATGAAGAAATGACATGTGTATACTACTATTACGACAATGGTGTCCTAGAGCTTAATTCTCAACTCTTTTTTTGTAACTAGGAATAAACATAACAGAGTTTGAGCTACACTCATATTTTTCCAAATTTTTGTTTAGCAGAACACATTTTAATGACTCCCAAATATAAGTCTGCGAATTCAACAACGATTATGATAGAAAGGCAAGCTGTAGAGCCACCAGCAGAAGAAGGAAATGAAGAGAATATTCATGTTGCTGGAGGAAATCACAAAGGAATAGTTATTAACAAACAAGCTGCTGCTGGTATATATATTTGTGTATAATGTGCATAATGTTGGAATACCATTACCATTAACTCTTTTGTTATGGTCTGGTCTGCTACAAAATGCATTACTCTATACGGCTATGTGGATTGCATTAGTGGTTTAAAGTGACAGAAAAGTTGATAATAGTTTTGTAGATTTAGATATTAAATTATAAATACTGTTTAAGTAAAAAAATAAACGTACAATGACAATTTAATTTAATAAAATGTAATGTCTAATCTACTTCAACGGTTTAATAACAGTTTAATACTATACAGTGTTCATTTTGTTGCAAATAACTAGAGATATCAATAGCACATGGAAGATGCTTTGTGGTTGTAGTAACAAAAGGTTAATATGTACAGAAATTGATATTAGGACACTTTTTATAGTCCCACATGGTGAAGAACGTCCAGCGCAACTTTGCTTGCAATTCAGAGTGTTCTTAGTGAGTGCTCAGACTGGAAAACATACGCAAGAATCTAGAACTCTTCAGTTTTGGTTCATAGATACAGTTCCTCAGGCTGAACATCCCACTGAAGCGCAAGACTTCTTCAGAGAATTAGTCAGCCCTCAGGAGTTTCCACGAGGTAAAAATTATTCAAAACAATATTCTATTAGTACAATGTTACTGTTATACTGGTTAAAATTTATATGATTGATATGAATATCTATAAACTTTACAATTGCATCCTATCATTTTCTTAGAACATAACAGTTATTACTTAAAAGTAATAATGTTTTCAGAAGATATATGCTTCTGTTGCAGATTATGTTGGATTTATTACAAAAATAATGAAGTTAATGTTGCGCAGATACCCTAGTATCAAAAAGATAGAAGTAGAAATGACACAGTTACAGGAACCAGTCAATCTTCCAGCTCGACCATGTAAGTAAAATGTCAGTCTATTTTGTATTATTTACTTATACTAAATGAATGTTTCTTATGTATCAATAATATTAGGTACTATTTGAATATTCATGAAAAACATGTTTGAATATAAAATCATTGATCTGGTTGGTTGATTTTTTTTTCAATTTTTTTGGCTTGGTTGTATCATAATGTACTATTCTCTTGTTTTGACGAAACTACAGTCAAGTAGGGAGTAGCGTCAAGATTTATTTGATTAGACTCATTGAGCTAAATGGTCCTTTATTGAAAGTTATTGCAGTAGTACTTCTTCAGTGTACATTGTAACTGAAACTGAAGGAAAACCATATAACATTTGTACTAATTATTTTATTCATTCACAATTACTTGCATATGTTGTATGTTTTTCTGATTGGTGATGTGGAATAAAAATTTTATTTTAAATATTTGTTATTCACAGCCAGTACTGGTCATATACTGTTCACACTTCCTCCATGTAAGAAAATTATTTGGAAATCAGGTTGGAAAGAATGACAAAGTTGTATATTCTATTGCAATTTTTATATTTAGATGATACTTTTTACATACAATCTGTTACATAAGACCAATAATTATTTTATATTTGCCGGTCAAAGTTAAAATAAACATTACTTTCTATGTAACTGTAATACATACAATTTTATTATCGTGGTATATACTTTATTCTTTAATGTTTCATTTTTATGTAAAATATAGGAAGAAGGTAAAGCAAGAAATAAATGTGTGTCATTCGTATGTTGACCGGTAAATATACATTATGCTGCTTCATACAAAACAGTGATAACCATAACAACATTGTCTTAACACAACCTATTATTTAGTTTTCAAATTACATAACAATTTAAATACTATTGCCTTATTAAAACCTTTCAGTGAACAGCTAAAATAGAAATTGTAAAGTTCTAAGTTTATTATTTTTTTTGTGAATGATTTACGAATTAACAGGAAAATTCTCTGTTTAACCATTTTCACTTCAACCAGAGATCATTTCTTCACGACAGCATGACTATTAACATCTAGATGTTTTATTTCTCTTTTCAAGAAATTCAGTGCTTTCAAATTAAATTAAAATTAATATTTGTTTTCAGTTCAGTATACATACGTTTATTTATGTCATATCTGGTGCAAATTATGTAGTAATGTTTTACTGCTTTATTACCATTTAGAGAAGAAAATAATACTGTCATACATATAAAGCATTTACCTTGTACTCATAATTACTTAATACCATATAAGATGCATAGACTTTATTTCTGTGTAAGTAATTCTATTAAAGGAATTAGTAGTACAAGTTGTGACCTAGTTTTAAATCACATGTAAACTTTTTTTTATCATTTGTACTGCGGTAGATAAATATTTAGCATACACAAGTTGTAGTTATTTATTCAACAATTTTTCGTTTCTATTGCAAAGCTAATCATAAATAATTCACTCAACACCAAGCAATTATATGCTTTGAGAACTTACAATATATTATTGTGATATATTTTGACAGTTCATTTCTCTGTTTAATAGTATCTACAGATGAAACAGTCATGGGTCAAGTTACTGAACTGTCATTGGAAAAGGTGTTAGAGTTAATTGAATCTGCTTATCCAAATCCAGTCACAGTTATTGACTTAGCAAAGTAAGATTTGTATCACAAGCATTATTACTTCACAGAAGAAAAAAAATAATATTTAATTGTTATAACTTTGATTACAGAGAACATGGTTGGGATCCTTCTGCTGTTGAAGCAAAATTGAAAGAATTGCAAATGAAAGGTGTTGTAAAAGCAATGGAACATGGAGCTTTCACAAGAGTTATACATCAAGATACTCAAATTCAAGTAAGTCTTATTTAATTATTACTCTATATTTGAATAGCAGTAAAATATTGTATTCTCTGTATTTAGGTGGTAAAACAAATGCCGACAATGGCAAGTGCAAAGCAACCGACGATAGCTATCATTACAGCGCAGTATTGTGAAAAACTGGCAGTTGATTCAATGATTGAAAATAAAGAAACGTTTGTTCGTTACACTACTGTTGGTAAGATATATTAATTATATCTGTATCATATTATTAATTGTGTGGAATTATATTGTATAAATGAAGCAGAAAATGTATGTGTATGTATACATATACAAAGGGCGCTTCTAAATTGAAATCAGTATTTTTTTTTTTTATTGGAAAATTGTTTTAAATAAGATCAGATGCATTAATTTTAAATACCATACGTAAATCGATACGGTAAAAATAGAAAACGCGTTTAGAAAATACGTATATTTCACTACGCATGAAACTTTAGGTACGGCAAGCTCAAAAGACGCAACAAGTGGAGTACCACGAGTGACATGCCGTTTTGGTAAAGTAGTTTGTAAAATAATTTCTTTTTTGTTTCAATGTAATTTTAATGTTATAGCTTGCCAATTGCTTGTATTAAAGAAAGAGCCGTTTTGCTGCATACAATATGCCATTGAAGGGCATTTTTATTCAAATATTGTTTTCGCCATAGCAAAAAGAATACTTAATTATTGTTACTGTATTGTGGATGTCCTATATCAAGTTCTGAATATCACACCATGTTTTACATCGATGTATTTAAGTGCTTACTCTTTCAGGAATATTAATATATCAAATTAATCCTGCAACAGACACATCTTGAAGGGACACAATTTAAATTTATTTACCAAATATGTTTTTGTTTTCACATGTTTTCTGTGTTTGTTTATTTGGTTTGTTTGTGAAAGGGATATTGAGTACCACATCGCTTTGTTCTGTCCATGTGGATATGACTAATATTAACCTCTTATAAATTATTCTTTATTTTCTTAAGTTACAAAAATAATAACATAACAAATGTATATGTGTAAAATTTTCAGCTCATTTTTACAATTTTTTTTCATTCCTACAAAGACGAAAATGAAAATGTAAACACTAACACGTTTTTCATAATTATATACTTTTGCATAAATTAGTATACACATTTTATAATTTATGAACGCAACTAAGTTATGTTAACTATTTATCATTTATGAAACACTTTTTTAATACATTAATAAGTTTTAAAAAAATTCACTCAACTACGTATTCAGTAATACTGAACATAATTGCATCTGTATGGAATGATTAATTTTTAAACAATTTTTCACACATAACACAGGTTCGATATCAGTCTGCAGATAGTGGCACAGTGCACATGTATCATACACAGATTTCAGATTATACAGTATGAAAACCTATGATACAAATCGTAATTACTTTTTGTTATAGGGGAATCGAATGTTTATACATTAGGCAACATTGGTGCACACAGAATTGTATGCACAAAACTGCCAACTGTAGGTCATACCAGAGAAGCAATGACTGCAGCAGGAAATACAACTACTAGACTGTTAGGTGCTACTCTAAATATTTATTCCGTTGTTAAGTATAACAATTTATAGTAAGTATTTGTGACTAATTATCCAATAAATTATTTAGGTACATTCCAAAAAGTAGATTTTGTTTTTTTAATTGGTATTGGAGGAGGTGTACCTCACTACACTGATTATAACAAACATGTACGACTTGGCGATGTAGTTATTTCACATCCTGCTCCTGTTAACAAAAAGTACATTTATGTGTATTGTGAAAGTGCGAAAGGTCATGAAGGTAGTAATTACCAATTTGAAACCAAAGAATATTGTCCCCCGAATTTATGTCTTCAAGAAATAGCTGCTAATCTTAAAGAACAGGTAAATTAATGTTGTTCTGTCAAATTTAATTAGTTCGTATAAGTCAATTATTTAAAGATGGTATGGTTTTATAGTTGAAGAATAAAGCAGATCTTCCATGGCAAATGTACCTGAAAGAAGGTTTAGATATTCTAAACAACCAAACAGAACATGATTTCAAAGCACCTCCACCAGAATCTGACAAACTGTATATGGCTATTGGTGACAGAGATGTTATTGAAGTAGCGCATCCCACTGCATCTACAGACGCGATTAATGAAAGGTGGGTAACTATTATTTACTATATACAGTCAGAGTACTTTTTTATTAACCAATGTTATTCTTTAGTTATTTGTAGAAGATAATTATGAATATAAAATTAAAGCAAGACAAAAGTTTTTTTTAAATCACTTATACAACAACTTCTTTTGTATTTTTGCACAGAACGGATGGTTGTCCCCGGATACATTTGGGACCAGTGGCATCCGGTAGACATATTGCTCGTGACGATCAACTCAGACAGGAATTCGCAGCCCGTTTCGGAGCACTTGCATTCGACTCTGAAATGGACGCCGTGGTTGAAAGTATTTTGGGTAACTGCCGTGAAAGTTTCGCTGTGATTCGAGGTATTTCTGATTACAAAGATGGTTCTCGTGGAAAAGAATGGCAGGCGCATGCATCTTTGGCTGCTGCCAGTGTAATGAAATCTATCATTTGCGCCATGGATCCACCAACTAATGTGTAAAATCTAATATAATATTTTCGCAGTTTTCACTTTTGTATACAAGATGGACCAACTGTCCTTATTAGTTGAAACCGATCGTAGCATACATTTGCTCACAAGCTGCACATCCATTACTTAATGAACAGTGTGATTCAATTCTTTTCATTTTATGTTTCATGTTGCATTTAATGGGACACGAATCAGTCATTATTTTACGATCGACAAGAAAGTGAGATCGTAATCAAAAGATACAATAGTTAGAAAGTAATGTGCACAAAATGCATTTAATTAAGAAGATTACAGTTAATACAAGAAACTCTCTTAGTAGTAGAAGAGCGAAACGAATTCGAAACACTTACGCTTTCAAATAATTTCTATGCTGCTCAACAATCCTATATTTGACTGATAAAAATAATTTTCTTTGTTTTTTCCTGAAACGGAGATCACTTTGTACAATTTTACAGTTTGCATTTATAAATGCATTCACATTTCGAAGTTAATAATCTAGTATTTTTGTCGAATTACCACGCCAGTTGATTTTTAACAAGTTTTTACAGATTTATTCATATACACTTTGTACTTTTAGGAACGCGTCTATTATTTGTTTCCATTATTTAAAATATTTAAATGAAACAGTAACCTTGGAAAGAAATCGGTTCAGCGCTCCTACGACTGGTGCCATCTTTATTCTGTGCCGCACGTATAGAGTTCATACAAATTCTTTTTACATAGAAGAAACATTTTGTAATGTATCAAGTTATGATATTTTGAAATAGTTGTGTAGTTTAAGTGTTATTATAATAATGAGGCTCTCGAGTATATCAAATCTTGCCGGGTCGGCTCCGAAATGATGTAGGGATGAAAAACATTGAAAGCTTTAAATGAAGCCTCGATGTAGTCAGCGAGACAATTTAAGTCTAGAGTATGGTATTGAAGATTGAGGGTAGGAAATATATTTGGCAGTATCTGTCTAAACATGATCAAATCCTCGTTACAAGATTGTCCTAAATACTATATGTTTCTCAGAGTATATCGTTGCTTTAAACAAATATATGCACTATACTCATGCACTAAATGCATTTGGAATCTTTTGACTGTCGAGAAGAACGAAACACGAGCACAATAGTGCTTCGAAAATCTCTTACTTTTAAGCTGTGAAAAACTCACACTTAGGATTCATTCTAGTTTTCAAATACAGAAAACATGAGATACATAAAAACAAACAAAATAGTATTTACACCATTTTAATTAACACTGATCACAATTGACATAGTTCAATTACTGCCGTATTTGGTCTAATTTTATCAAAAGAATCTTGTTAATCTGTTGGTAAAAGTTTTGAACTATTACATGTTTAATAAAAGGTAATTTTGGAGCTGTATTAGTGATTGAGGTAACAGTATATAATTATTATACTCAATATAGTATTAAGTGCTGGGAATCATTCAACGTTCCTTGCCGGCATTCTGTCATATTTTATTTTGTTATACCCTTTTGGCAAAGTGTTATGATGCAATTTTTAAACCAAATAGTTTTAATTGTTAAAATAGTTCTCATTCCATTCAACAAGCTACTTTTGATATATTTGTTGAAGTTACATGCGCACTTTTTGTAAAATTAAATTATTTTCATCATAAATAAATTAAACCAATTCTTACATTCCATCAATTTTCACTTTTTGTTCATTTCATAAACAAGACGACGTTTTACGATAACAAATAAAATCTTCTAAATATTTAACATATATTGCAGTGTGCTGTGTTGCATTTCGTTCGATTTTGAATGGCTAAAGCAGAGAAATTTTCCTTTTGTATGTAACATGTTTTATTAGTTGTTTGTAACATATAAGACTCAGTTAATTGTAATCACGTAAATCATCTTAAAGTGAAGTAAATTGATGAATCCGTTGTGCCGCATAGAAAGCGAAACTCACATAATCAGTCTAAAACAGTGAGAAATTTTCGGGGCACTACTGTAGACGATAACATCTAAAAGTTTGATCGCATTATCCAGGATATGAATGTTGTACAGTACATTTTACGGCGTTTTACAGTGATTTATGTTATCATTAGAATAAAGTAATCTGTTTCTCTTTTATGTTCAAATCCAACTCTAACTTTAGAAAAATTTTATTTCAAGAGCAACATAGTTGCTAGTACATAAAGAGATCACATATTTATCTGCATTTATATTATTGTCTTTAATAGTTCAAAAAACTGATACCAATGGTCTTTCTGTTGTGTTATAATTTCATATTTTAATAAATTGTTATATTTTCATACTGTACTGTGTCATAATATTCTTAGGTATCCTAATACTTTTTCTTAACTTTTTGTGTGTATTAGCGTACCAAATTTCGGAGTCCTGAAACCTCTTGAAAGTTTAGTAATTTGTTATACTCACAATTGAGACATGCCCGATTAAACTTTTAGCCGATAATACATCTATTAAATATATTGAAAAACGTACAATTAATTAACAATCTAAAGTGCCAATGTGTTCAATAAATTTGTTGCAAAAGCGGCTGAGAACTTTTTCTAAAAAGATAAACAAAATTCTATTTTTTAAACGAATCAATAATTGGTATCATTATAAGATTTTCTCAAGAAAAACACTGAACTAATGGATGCAATCTTTGAGGATAAGTTGCAATTATCTTTTCTTCAAGGAATACTTGCTTTTTTCTTGAATAATTTATTTTCGATCTTTTCGAAAAAGGTTCTCTGCTATTTACAAAGTCAAAACAGTACTGGAATCTGCACTGCCTCCTCGAAATTCGGACGTAAATTTTTAAGACTTAAAAAATCCTTTGAAACAAATTCAAAGATATCATTAAGCCTTGTTGATAAGGTTCAACGTAACTTCCTCGCATTTCAACGTCTTTCTAGATATTAAAGCACAGGGTAGTATATGAAAACCTTTTATTTAAGTGACATTTAAATGTATCGGATTCTAGCATAAATCTAAACAAGTAGAAGAGTAGCACATACATAAAAATTCATAAATAAATAGTTGATGGCTTGAAAGTCTTAAGATTTTGCAGCTCCAAGAGTGTCACTGACTACATATTTATTTAATCCTTATATGATTACTTATTTATTGGTATTCAGCAAAAATATAGTTAATAGAAAAAGATTCGTCTTTTTTTTAAAGAATATTACTTATTGTTTATTAATTTATAAATATAGCGTTGACGTATACAAAAAAGGAAAATAAAAAATGAATAAATAGGTTTCTAAAGATAAAAGAACCTCAGATCAATATAATTGATGAAAAAAAAATCACTTGTTGCACAGAAGCACATCTTTCAAATTCTATGAAGTATATAGAGAGTGACTATCGTAAATACGTATTATATTATAAATATACACAGATACGTAAATGTAGACATAGACATATTTAAAGTATACATTAAATATTTCATAGCATTAAGGAAAATAGTGATATTTCAGTCAGTTTGCATAGAAAAAGTATTCTCAAGTGCTCTCTTTATTTCAATACATATACATCAATGCTCAAAAGTATTTAATGATTTATTCTACGTATGTTTCATAAAAAGGAAAACACAATATATCATAATTTATCTACTTTTCAAATTACTACACTTTTGTCTTATTATATGTGCAATGCAAGCATTGGAATCAATAAATACATATATGTATTCTTTTTGATGAATAAAAGTAAATTTTTGTCACACTAGACGCATAATAAAATACTTTTGAGTAGTGAAGTAAATTATGGAGTATATTAATTCAATTTACCTGGTTACTGAATCTTACTTAAGGCCTAAATATTAATTATGTACAAAGCCTCTCAACATTTCGAGTTATTATGTGAACAAACTTCCTAACAATTCCTAATATCCGATTAGGAGCATCGTACTGTACCTGTTGTACAATATTTTGGCAAGTCTGTGTATTTAAAGGATAAACCTCAGACGCCATCAAACCCCTTCGTTGTTCTGTCCCTTCTCTCGTTGCCCTATAGAAAGTATAAATATTGACAGCATGAGAATGATGACAAAGAATAAATTGATTCTTTCATTGATATTTTATCAAAATTTTTACGAAACTGTTTTTAGGGATGGTTTTAAATCAGGGAAGTGTTCCAGACAGGTCAAATCATGTCGCGACAAGTACAGTAGCAACAGAAATTAAGATTCATTTATATGTACCACGTGTCGAAACTGTGCCGAGCGCAGAATTATCAGAAAAAAATATTGTTACATATCTTTGCCAATATTCATAGACAACGATTTTTCGACGAGCTCATTCAGTCTTCGTCCCGTGTTCATGATGTATAAATTGTCTCTCCGAGTATTGAATGCGTCGCGAAACCTTGTTAAAAAAAAATTTTAATTGTTCTCCTTCTTAAAAAAATGAAAGATGTAGAACTAATTAAATTAGTGAGAGAACATAATATAGTGGCCTACGCTCGGTACAGACATAGCACATCTTCTATGTAAATGAATATTTATTAAGAGGCTTTCTTGTCAACTGGTACGGACTCTGTTATTATGTTTAAGCGAAGCTATCGGGCTTCAGACTTTCGACTATTTATATTCAATGTTCATTCCCTTTAAAGAGGGATCCTGACGAAACAGAACCGTGCGATTTTTACTGACTCGTGCACTGTTAGAGTATCCGCTGAAAAGAAGAGGCTAATTTATTTCGCATTCAAAATGGATGTTTTCCAAATTTTTTTTATTTATTTAAATGTTAAAAAACATAATGAAATTTACTAAAATAATTTGGGCTATTTTAAGGTGTACTAGAATGTTAGCCCAGCGTTTCACTTGGTAGAATAGGGAAAACTCATACATGTGATTCATGTTCTGATATACAGGGTGTCTCAGCTAACTTGATCATCTCGAATAATGACTTAAAAGTACACTTTATGAACATTTTGAGGTGTGGAACTTAAGTGGCATCAAGGGCACATCTTATAAGATACGTGTTCTTTTGTGGGGCGAGGCATTTCAGAGATTTCTAAGTCACCTTGATTTTTTTTAACGGAATGATCTATTTTTTGTACCATACATCAATAGAGTAACAAATTCTGAGTAAAAATGTATTGACCCTCATACGTCGTAAACTTAATAGTTAACGACATATATACAAAATAATCATTGTATTGAATTCGCTGTATTGAAATTAAGGGGCATCAGTTCGAGCACCTATACTTAGCTTCCAGATAGTAAGTACGTATTAAAAATTATTTTGTAAATATCT